AAATATCGGTGCCTGCATGTACGTTACAGTACTCTGGGACACTAAAATCCTACTACCTAGGTACAAATTCGACCTGTGCCTTCCTAAACGATCTTGCAATGACGGTGGGCTTAATACGATCCGAGTTTGAGATACTATGATCCACCAGCCTGAATAATTAGACATTCTACTACTACATACTTACTACTACTGGTAGTAGTACATTGTATTTCGTACTTCTGGTAGTTCGACTATGGATACTAGTACTTATAATAACCCCATACTACAGTACGCAACTCGCTAGGCAATTCTGTTCACATTCCAATCCCACCCTGGTTAACAGCCCTGGAGATCTCGTCCATACAGTACTATGTTTTCAGTATGAAATTTTCTGAACCTCAAGCTAGTAACACCCATGCTCCAAAAGGAAGACCCATGACTGCTTTTCGCCACACCTTCTTCCCCCCCGGCTCAATGACAAAGGCTTATTGGTTTACTGTCTCCATTCCGCCCGTCCCGCTCCCCGCAAGCTCCAAATCTCTCTCTTCTTTCTTTCGCCCTACCCTCCACACATCCATCCCTGTGGCTCCATGTGGCGCAGGTTGACTCACACAGTCGGATGCCCGAATCCGCAGTGGCAAAGACCTTCACTGCGCCTGACTGGCCCAGTCTGCTCGTCTCTGGTCGCACGCACGCATGCACATGCGACGTCTGACCTTTTGGCCCCCCTGTCCCGCCCTCTCGTCGGGATGACGGCAGTGATCGCCATTGCTGCTCCCCTCACCCCCCCGTCCATGCGGATAAAGCAGCCACCTTCTACTCGTACGCAACCGCACAGCAATGCACTAATACTGTACCTTTGTACCGCCCGAGGCATGCGCCCGACGAAGGCCCAAGCTCCCATTTATCTGGCGCAGGGCTGTAATGATCTGCGGTGCCGCCGACGATAAACGAGAAGGTCTCGCATCGTCGCGTTCAAAGTGGTTGTTGGTGTTGTGGTTAGCCCGATGATCATTAACCCGTCACCTGGTTCACCAGGTGCGTGTGTGTAGTACATAATAGACTGCAGCGGACGTGACCATACAACGCCCCTCGTTTCGCTCTCGCACCCAACAAATATGTGGCATCGCGACTTCCCGGACACAACAGCCGTGGCTCCTGGACGATCGTGCAATTGAGGAGTGCATGTTGCGGATCGATCACCCAATCATGACTCTCATCGATCTATATCGGGTGAATTTCCCTCCCTAACCCTAATGGGATTGCTATGTACAAATCTCCCCCCCTCCACTCCACAGACATTCATTAAATAAAGCAATATGAGTGGCAGAAAGGCACAAAAAGATGTGCATCTTCTGTACACATAGGGGTACAACCCCCGAATACATATCCGAGGATCCCTACTTCTCCACCCCCCAGTCAGTTGCGTCCATGGCGTACGCCCACGTCCGCCGCCTTCTCCCCGAAGACCTCAGATGACGTGGTGGCTGTTAACTCAGCAGTTCCTTTTTTTGGCCAATTGCGAACGGAACCAAACACCGAAGATACAACCCCCACTTCCAGTGGGTACTTTTGGTTGGTGCAACATACCCGGAGATATTTTCCTGACGTCACCAGTCTCGTACGCGGCATCGAAGAGATAATGTAAATACTACATACTCGTATGCTTGTTTCCGAATTAGACGTGATAATAACGAAAGGGACTAGCCAGATGGAATGGAAGTTGCGGATCACTTTTAAGATCTGAACGTTGAATGTTGAATATCCGGGTATTTTCTTCCCCCCGTCTTGGTGTGATGCTGGTTAGCCGCATTACCCACTTACTACTATGTAGCTAGTGAGATACTGTACAGATATTAACTTTGTATATAGTTTAATAATGATAATATTATCATATTTTAGGCAGATATGTCTCGTATCTTGCGGTCAAATAAAGGAGATGTCTTTTGTACAGCTCTCACGCATGCATACAGCATGAATATACGCCGGTGTCACGATGAACCGAGCATCCTTGCTGCTTTTGGCAACGGTGGCTCCATTCCTCTTCAACGCTTTGGTTCGGAGGCGGGTGCCGACCAATCAGAAGCAATATCGGCCTCCCCGGGCTGACGGGAGAGCTCGAATATGCCTATGAGATGGATCAGATATCAGATTATGGAATAAGCTCCTATGTTCTTAGGATCATGATAATTTTGTAATACATGGGAGTGGGAGAACGAAGTTTTGCAACTGCCATTGACCTCAGATCCAATCGAATCGAATCAAATCTGGTCGTCGATCGAAGATCTCCTGCCAAGAGGGATGCCAGAAGGTCCCGTGCGCGTCGGGGTGTAGTCACGTCACGTCAGGTCACGTATTGTATAAGGCACGTGCTCCGAGCCCTCCGATCTGTGATTTAAGCCTTTTGATTGGCGGGATGCCATTCCAGCAATGGCACTTCGCATAGCAAGCCCACGAGGCGTATTTATCAGTTTTGTCAGGGACTTGTAATGACTATGGGGATCCACCGGGATTTGACATGCTCAGAGTACGTAGCCCATTAGCCAGTATTAGTCCCCCACTTTAACGGTATTTTTAGTTATTAAACGGGCGCTATTGCCGCTGGCTACTGTGTATAAACGCCATACATGGAGGGTGCAGGCGATGGCGGAAAGAACGGATGAACGTGTTTGAGATAGATAAAGCGCGACGTCAACGTGCGTTTCTCCTGCCGGCGAGGAGTCTTTTGGTATGAACTTCCAAGTCCACAAGGAGGAACCCCAATCTGCCCTGACGATCAGATCGTAGACAGCAATTTGGTCCAGGGATGCCGACTCGACCTGTTCCCGATTCTAACTCTTGGTGACGTTTGAACCGTCATAGCACTGACATGTGCAGGAGTGCTGTCACCACATAGGTGCAGTGCAGCTACATCTGGTGAGAAATTGGACGATGATTCGATCCATGTTTACTCCGTATTAACTAGAGTCAATGGGATACTATGTATGTAGGTACATATTCAACGCCACGGGACCCCGAGAGCTACGGTCTCGGCAGCCGCCTATCACTCCCCACCGCACGACCACAGTGGTTCCGTGGATGGAGGAGATTCGCAAGCCACTCCATTCCTCCCGTTTTCGCGTGCTTTTCGCGTGACAAATTTCTGTTCTACATACTCCATAGGGTACGGAGAACCTGCCACCCACTCCTGGTACTCCATATGTACATCCACCGAGGGTCAAGTGCGTGATTGTCTGTTGTGCTGTACACATATGTATGTACATATGTACTGTACTCTGTAGGTAAACTTCGTTGCCTGCGGCTCCCGCCGAATCGTCATGTGGCGCTTGGTGGTGTAGATACATTTCCGCGCCGTTTGATTAGTGAAGCTCGGAACACCTTACCATCCATGTTCCCACCGCCACTTCAGCCACCGAACCCTACTAAAGGTGCCTGATAAATTGTTTCTCTGGTAACTTTTCTTTTCTTTTCTTAGGGTTCCACTTACACCCAGGAGGTATGTATGTATTTAACCGACGGGAGTGTATATATGGGTAGAGGAGCATTGACTCAGGCACCAAGGCAGGAATTATGTGGCGTCTTCTCTTAAAATGTGTGGGGGACCCGACAATATGGTAAGCATTGCCCTATCGATAGACGGAAGCTCTCCGGCTGGATCCAATGGTCGGTTCTTGACGGGAAAAAAGAAAAAGAACTCCGTATACTGTATACTATTGAAGGAATCAGTTGGAAACGGAAATGATCACAATTTGATTGACCCAAGCAGAATCCAAGGGAAACAAGGAGAATACCCCGACAATACCTCACAATACACTAATTATGTGTAAATTACCGGTTCCCGTGGGAGTTCTTTTTTTTAAATTGTAATCATACGTGTATTCTGTATCTCTCTCTCGAGTGGAGCATCTGATGTATTGGCGTACATTAGTACTCCGTACTCCGTACGAGTAGGGTACCCCCACTGATTACCGATTCGTCCTTTGGGTCTCATTCCACCTTTTCTCCATAATTCCTTTTCCCCCTCCCCTTAGTGTACACTCTCTCCCCAGTGCGGTACCAATCACTTTCATTCCATATTTGAATCTCCATAGAAAGAAAAAAAAAAAAAAAAAAAAGAAGAAATAATACACACAGTACACATACTACTGGCCTTTCCCCCCCAATGCGGCCCCTGGTCCTTATCGTTCAAGTGGCAACACTCTTCTTCTCTTTCTACTGTAATCTTCCGACAACTCTACTACTCCGTACACTCCACCATCATCCTCTCTTCCTCCCCCCCCCCTACCCAACCACATTGGCCCCTGGAAGTGTGGCTCAGTGGATGTTAAATTTTGCTGCTTCATAGTTCTCCTCTTTCATTATTGGAGGCCTCATGGACCGTACCGTCATTTCTATTTTTTTCTTTTCCCTATTCTAGTCCGTTCGTCATACACCGTGTCCACCCCTCCTTCACCCCTCGCCTCTTCAACCCAACTTCTTCTCATCTTCATAAAAAAGGGGCCTTGTCGCATACATTGAGAAATTCTCTTTTTTGCTTCTCTCTCTCTCTCTCTCCCTCTCTACTTCGACACCTTGATCACGCCCTTAGGCAACTCCGCCATTATCCGTGTTATTTGAGACGCCGCTTTTTTTGAGGCTCGCATTCCTACCTACCATCCTCACCACGGACGCGCAATCCTCATCCAACCTCCGAATTCGAACACCTACACCCATTGCAATAAATCAATCAAGCTCGAATCGACCCGCTGCCACATTCCAGATCTCCCCTTCGAAGTCCTTTCCCGAATCAATCAATCGTTGGAGGATCTTGAACTAGCGGGTAGGGGGAAGGTCAGAAAAAAAAAGCTTCCCCACTCCACCCCAACAGGTCAACTTCACAAGAATTTGTGTTTGTGACCTGTAGGAAGATCTTGCAATTAGATGTTCCTCCTGTAGAAGGTTCTCTGATTGATATTCCCTATTCATTTACACGCGTGTGATTTCTCCGCCGCGGAAAATCCCACCCAGAAACTCCGCCCTCGATGTTCCGTAACCGGTGAGTCCCCGACCTTCAAGCTATCAACCGCCTCTGGTCGCATGAACAGTCACTAATCTTTTTTTTCCCTGCATTTAGAAACAATACCCAGAAGCCTGATGATGAACTCATCAGTCGCTTCCAGGAAACATTTTCTGAGATAGTTCCCGGCGAGAAGGCGACCACGAGCTTGAAGGACACACCGGAAGGTATGTGGCCAATAAGACAGTGGATTTGGAAGCGGGTGCTGATTTGGCCATTTTTGGATACAGACCGATGAACCACGATCCTCACTTAAAGATGGAGGAGGTTGGCATGAAATTTCACAATCAACGAACCCCTCGCAACCTGCAGGATCTCAACTTCAGCCCGTCATGGATGGACCCAACCGCCATGCAGATGATGTCCTCTTTTGCTGGACAACATCCTGGTTTCTATACCCCCAACTCCGCCGGAATGGGTGCTGTCTTTCACAATGAAGCCGGAGACCTCCACACACCGACCGCTGGTCTGAATATGATTACGCCACTCTCTGTCTCAAATGCCATGCCCGGTTCTCAACAGGGTCACCATCCCATGCATATGGACCAACAACTTCAACAGCAGTATCTTTCGCAACAAATGCCAGATATAAACCCCTATATTCAACAATCATCATTTGCTCCTAGTGCATTCATGCACCGGGATTCCTTCGACGCCATGGATGAGTCGGGCGACAATCAATCCCTTCCCAGCTTACCAGCCGACCAAGCCTCTATTGTGACATCCTCGACAGATCATTCAAATGGGTTGTCATACGCCCAAGGCGAAAAGTATGTGCTCGCTCTTGAAATTAGTTCTTGATTCAATGCTAATAATATTATAGCTTCCGATACAATGTCACTCTGCGAGCGCCAACCGCAATGGTGAAACACAAGCGAGAAGTCCCAATCAGCTACCTCAATAAGGGACAAGCCTACAACCTGACAGTGATAGACTCAACCCCACCCCTGGCCAGCTCCGAGCCTGTGAAATACCGGACATTTGTCCGCGTTTCGTTCGACGAAGAACAGCAAAGGGCGAAACCGTCAGTCTGCTGGCAATTATGGAAAGAAGGCCGAGGATTGAACGAGTCACATCAACGCGGAGGAAAATTGTTGGCCGTGGAATACGTTGACCCTCTCCCCGGGGGCGACGGCAACAAAAACCGCCAGATCCAAATCGAGCAGATGTCATTCGATGGATTTTGTGTTACTTGGACGGCGAACCCGGGAACAGGTGCATCCGACTGCACTATTCCCGTACGATTCAATTTCTTATCAACCGATTTCAGCCATTCGAAGGGTGTCAAGGGTATTCCGGTTCGATTATGCGCGAAGACAGAGATCCTCGTACCAGGGGAAGATTCCGGTGTATCACGCGAACCGGAAGTATCATACTGCAAAGTGAAACTTTTCCGTGACCATGGCGCAGAGCGCAAACTATCCAACGACGTCGCACATGTGAAGAAGACCATCGAGAAGCTGAAGCAGCAAGTCGCACAGGCTGAGATGGGCGGTGGTTATGGCAAGCGGAAACGTGGCAGTGCCGCCCCAAATGTGAAAAACGACCGGAACATGAAGGGCTCGAAGCACAAGCGCACTTGGTCGACAGGCTCTGATGATGGACCCGTGGACAAAATGTCCTTGGAAGATGATCTTCAGGCCAAGCTCGCCATGATGCAGGACATGTTCTCATCAACACGCACCGTGAGCGTTCTTGCGCTTCGCGGCGAACAGGATGATGATCCCGATCTTTTCCCGGTTCGAATGCCAGCCGACGGTGACAGTGCTCAAGTGGACGGTTTGGAACGCCAGAACCACAGCGCTTCCCACTCCATGGAATCGTTGATTCTTTCTCCGAGTAGCAGCAACGCTTCTTTGAATTCTCCCCGTTTAGGCAACTTTACGAGTATGAAGAACTCTTCCGGGGTTCACAAGGTTGCTACAGAGGATTCCACGATAGGCTATATCGAGGCTATCGATATCGACCCGACCTATCATCCTCCAGCAGAGCGACCACCCAAGCCGAGTAAGTTCGAATAATACTCCACACTTAGGATTTATTTACTAATGGCAAATTAGTCGCATGCTTCTACGTTAGATTTGCCGGAAACGACCAACATCCCGACTTTTACCGAGCGATCTACCTCACAGAACGTACCGTCCGAGACCTGATGAAGAAGATCTCCGAAAAGCACCACATCGACCCATCACGCATCGTCCGTATCCTGCATGTCAACCAGAACGGACTTCGGATCATGGTTGATGACGACGTCGTGCGCGAGCTTCCAGAAGGTCAAGACATGATCGCCGATATTTATGAAGCTCAAGGCCCTGGCGGCGGCTTCCACGGGTCTCCCATGGAGATCAAATTAACCTATTAATTCAACCTCAAGCCACGCAAAAGATGAACGACCTTCTTGAGCACTCATCTCTCTGGGATACATTAAGTCTCGTTGCTATCTTTTTCTGCCCCACGACATATCCTGGGTTCTGTTCTCGTGGGCTAGCTTGTCATCTGCCCTGCCTGGATCTCGATTACACCTGGCGTGTACGTCGTCGCAGGAACATCTTACTCGCAGCCGACCTCCTGCGACCTTATTCTTCTTCTTTCAATTTCATTATTTTTTATCTCATTGGGCGGTCTATCATCATTTTGGGGGCGTTGGACAGGGAGACAATACACGAGTCTCCCGGCAATGATACCCTGTCAATATATGTTTTCTTTTTTCCCCTTGTTGATAATTTCTTGGGTTTGGTCCTGTTACGTTTCATTTATCCCACGGAGTTGAAATCTCCATCGACGGCATATGAAGTCGAACCATGGAGCAAACTGTTCTTGATATACACATTGGCTTTTTTATTCGTGACATTTCTTCTTCTCTTTTTCCTTTTCCAGTTTATCTTGGCTCAGGTATGACGCACACGAAGTTGATACCCCCGTTTTTATCTTGATTGAAGCTTGCTTGATACCGGCTCCATTGTCTGTGGGCATTTCGTCTCGTTGAGCGTTCGGTTGTTTGTTATTCCTTCTCTCTCTCTCTCTCTCTCTCTCTCTCTCTCTCTCTCTCTCTTATGTCTGTTTTCAAAGGCGTATGTATGTACACGGACTTTGGATCTTTTGATACACATAGTCGCCAGAGGGCGAGATGACAAATCAACCGTTTTGATGCAATGGTACAGAATATGATGCTCCCGCTGATACCTTCACGTAATTTACTCCGCTATCAAACTACCACAACTAGGCGTTTCGTAACCATCAACCTTGGGAACCTTTCTGTTCGATCAAAAAGCAGAAAGCACGTGGTTGAGTCTTTGGACACATCCACCACGATCGACAGCTTGACAAATAGCTAGTAAAACTCTTTCCCGGCAAAACGGAGAAAGAAGCAGCCCTTAGGAATTGGGGTTGGGGTACGCAAGTGTGTGGATTTGTGGCGAAGACACACATTGGAAGGAATGGTTGCCGGACGTTATGGAGACCCGTATAATCCGAGTCCGAAGGTAGACCCAGGTAAACCGAGCTGCGGGCCAAAATTTTCCATCACATTTTCCATCACGGAGATTTGATGAGATTGTGGCTTTGCACAGCCATCCATGAAATGGGGCTGCAAACTTCCGGGACCCACCCCGGAGCCGGTCCCAGCAACCAGGTAACGTACACAGGGCTGTTGGGATGAGTGCCACGGGTGAAGAGGATATCTAGTTCCATGCTGTTCCATGGTACATAAGGCCTTAGAGAAGTGTATATTCCTATTGGCTGGGCTCTGGGCCCGGTGGGATGGTAACTACTGGACAACAAAAAATAGTTCCGGTCTCGGTCGGTCTTGTCGGTTATGATGCTAGCCTCGTTCCGAGCGGAGCAAACCACTGTGTATGTAGTGACGATCGTGGGACTTTCTGTTAAATTTGAATTCTTCGGATTTAAACGTTGGCGTTGACTCCAAAGACCAATCCACATGTTTCATATATGTAGTGAGTAACAGTGTTCATCAGGAAAGTTTGGTGCGAGATCTTCGTTTAATGTTTCATTCCCACCATCTCTCTCGCTCTTGATCGGCATCTGGCCGTTGTTCCAACCTACATACATACATATGTATACTCTTCTCGTCTTGACTTCAATCCACTTTACTCTCATGACGTCAGGATATTGTTCCTCCCAAGATCACTTTGACCACTTCTGAATCATGACCAACCCGGAGTTACCCCTCTACTCGTACATCCCTGCCGGCCTACAGGACGGGCCAGAACGGTCTCCGTACCTGTCGATCCCGAAGTCTCATTACATTGTACATGCTCTCTGACAACCCTAACCTCTAGCTCGAGATTTAGGTAATCCACTGGATCCTGGCTACCCCTCCCTGCGACCCTGCAATCTACGAGTTCGTCACTAACTATTACTGCACCAGAATTCCTTCTCTAACTGGCTTGTCATGTAAAACCTCTCACAAATATAATTTTCTTTCTGACCTATGCTAGTCCTCGCTTACTGAAATGACATCATATATAGAGCTTTCCTTGGAAGCGGAGTCCAGCAAAATAATCTAAACTGCCAGAAAACGACCCCACCTTTTTTTTTTTTTCCCACGCGGCTCGTCCCGTTACAAAGAAAGACCACAGTTCAACGCAATTAGGGAGTACAGTAGCTAGCGCCTACCGTCTGTATATACCGTATTTCAACGCATATTCGACCTATCTTTCTTTATAGAATACTAGTCGTATTTCCGGATCCTTCGTCTGGCTGTTTACGATGGTAACCTAACACGCCCCGCTGTGACCTGCCTAAACCTAACTACGCGGGCTAGCGGTGTGATTTCAACTACCAATCCGGATGATACTCGCGGCCGTTAGGGCTAGCCTGATGTTTTTAGGCTACATCGGCAATATTTTAATAAGGTAGGTGCATAGAATATACTGGCCGTTGGCGTTGATTCAATCCACGTGCCAGTCTTCAGCCCCAAGCTTATTCCGGTGGCGCTCGACCATGGCTCCGCCGTAGGGCTGATAGCCTACTGGCAATGGTTTGTACCAGGTGGTCGGTAGGGCTGTTATTTTGAAACCAACGAACTACTCATTTACTTGAGACAGTTGAGACCGTGGTTGGAGTCGTGGCTTATAGTTTAAATGAACTTGAAGTATAGCAACTGCAATCGGAGATTCGGTTGGGTGGGTAGTTCGAGTTGTTTTATATGCCTCCATGCCTCCTTCATGTACTAACTTGTGCTAACTATGATATTCTGCAACATTGACTTAGGATTGGACATAATTGCTATCTTTACTACCATAGGCAGCTCTTTAACACCTGTGAATAAGTAGAGTCCACCTAGATACTAGGTCCCCAATAACTTCTACTTGTCCCGAGAATGAGATCCTCTGGTTCTAACTGCTACGCAGGAAGTTGGTTATCCTGCTCATCAGAATGGCAGTTTGCTTGGAGTACTAGTACTAGTAGTACTACACTAGAGCTACAACATCTGCTCCTTCCCGCTGTGCATCACAAACACAAACACAAACACAAACAAAGCACACCCCGTGATTGTCGAATTTCCAGTTCAGGAAGGCACGACCATCACCCGCGTGCCTTCCCAGGAACAACCAGGAACAACGGTTGCCTCTCCTCTGCTTCCCTCACTTGCTCATCTTCGACTCTCTCTCTCTCTTCTCTCTCTCTCTCTCTCTCTCTCTCTCTCTCTCTCTCTCTCTCTCTCTCTCGCTCGCTCGTCACTCGCTTTCATCAACCACCGTTTCACTTCCTTCGTTTCTGATCTCTGACAACCAATTCGACTTTCACTCGCTTTCAAGTCGCATCTTGCCTTCGAAATGAAGTTCACTTTGAGCACCATCATGGTGCTCTGGGCACTAATGCTCCTGGCAACGGTCTCCCTCGGCAGCATCAGTAAGTCGTTTTGTTTTACAAATTCACATGCTGCCTTTCAGGACTTCTTTACTCCTTCAAAAATGTGCCTTCCATGAGTCAAACATCTAATACGGTCCATAGCAGATCTGGAGGCTCTCCAAGAGCTTCACCGGCGAGATGCGCTTGGCCGGCGAGCTGTTATGGCCTACCCGATCATTCCTGCTCCCGACCCCATCATCGGCGCTGGTTCTAGTCTCACAACCGTGTCAGTTGTCACCACCCTTCCCGGCGATGAGCCGAGTGGTCCTACCACCATTGTTGCCACCGTGACCGACACTGAATGCCCAGAGAGCACGATTCTCACCAAGACTCTTGTCACCGTGACCAAGTGCCATGGGAGTGCTGGCTGCACTGGCCTGGTTCCCGGAGCTCAGACTACTAGTTCCAGCGTGGCTGAAGAGTTCACCACCAGGACTGTCACCCAGACCACATGCCCGCACGTTGGCCCATGCACTACGAAGCTCACCACCTTCGTTACTTCCCCTGGAAATCTCGGCACTGGTACAGCTGTAGTGCCCGTTCCAACTGGCGGCCATTACTCCAACACCACTGAGATTGTTGTGACAGCTTCGCCAACCAACAATCCGGGTGGCTCCCACAGCAAGAGCCCTACCGGTCCCACCACTGTTGCCACTTCTCCCCCTAAGTTCAATGGTGCCCAGCGTCAACAGGCTATTGTGAACCAGCTCATTGTGGTGGCATTTTTCATGGTGCTCCTCTTCGAAATCATGTGAGGTTAACGCCTCGTCTGCCCTTCATCGGGTGCCTGGCCTGGGTAGTGCCAGCGGATTGCGTCCGGAATTACTACCTAAAAATGGGGAGGCCATTGTGCTTCGTTCTAAGTGTTCGAGAATAATAGGGTTGAACCATCATGTTTAATAGTATCTCACAGGATAGGTTCATCAGGCTGCGCACCGAACACTTTTTCTTCTGCTATTTCCTTTTGTTATTTCCTTCTATTATTTCCTTCTGTTATCTCCTTTCGTTGATCATTCTATTCTATTCTTAGCGCCTACTAGGGGCAAAATCGAATCAACGTTATCATCCATATTTGCTTTTATGTAGGTATTCTAAATGTTAGGTTTCCATTTGCCTCAAAAGATGTGAGATCACTGTTGGTGATCAGCCCAAGAAGCATTTGTCTCGTCTCACTCCTCTTGCCACCCTGTATCCTCCTGCTGCCCCGGGGAATTTTTGGTCCGATCAGCTTGCTTTCTCCATAGAAGAGCCAAGTAATCCGACGTCGTCGCCTCTTCAATCGACTTGTCCTCACGCACTTTTAGAAATCTTGGAAAACGGAGACTCAGCCCGCGCTCCTCGCTCGCCAGCCCAATAGCCGCAGGGTATGTCGGACTTAGCGTAATATCTGCAAAGGCCATCTCCCAAACCTCCTGTGGCTCAAACCAGATATCCGGTTCACCGTAGTATTGCACCCAGCTAGGGCGCGAAATGACATTTGCACTGCCTGCGACATATTTATCTTTATTTGCCTGATAGAACTTGTCTGTGAACCCGGACATGCATTTGGTGACGGCTTCCAAGACTCCCGACTCCGGGTTTCGGACTGCGAGAAGAATCGGGGACCACCATTTTGCTTTGCGGCCTTGGCCGTGCCATCCGGCGACGGGGATGAGGTCGAGAGTTTCGGAGGAGGTGCTGTAATCCTTTTTGACTTTGAGCCATGACTCGAGGCGTTTATCCGGCTCATATGTAGACAGGAGGGCTTTGCGCCGGTTACTTTTCTCCTTTATCGGCTTGGCGGATTCAGAGGGCTCCGTTTGTCGATCGATGTTGCCGGGAAGATCCTTGACGTCGGTGGCCTGAGTAGACTCTTTTAGGTCGTTGATCTTGATCGTGTTATCGAGGACTTTGACCATTATACCCTCGCATTTTGTGTCGGTTGCGCTCTTGAAGAACTCCAGTACAGTTTCCGAGTCTGCGGACGTAGCATCGATGCTCTTGACCCACGTAAATCTGTTGGGGATTTCGACAAAAAGACTGCGGAGTAGCCCACGGCGTTCGCGGAATGGTCGGTCCAAAAGAGGTTCCCCATTAAGGTACATTAGATCGAACGAAAATAGGCACACATCAACTGTGATTGCTCCGATTTCGACGTTCTTTTTTGCTCGGTTTGTAAGCGTCTGGAACGGTTGTAGATCGCCCGTTGCCTGGTCCACGGCCACCACTTCCCCTTCTAGGATAAAACTTGACACTCCTTCACCGCGGATCTGTGGGACCAGCGAAACAAGATCAGGATATTTCTCTGTCATAAGCTCAAGATGGCGAGAGAATATGGAGACCTTCCCCTTTTCGTCACAATGTACTTGAGCCCGTTGACCGTCGTACTTGTACTCGCAGCTAAAGTCCCTCCCTTGAAGCTTCGTTAACATATCCGAAAGATCGCGGGTGATGCTACCCAGCATAGGCCTTAGAGGAATATGTAATGCAAGACCACATCGAATGAGAAGTTCCTCGGTGACGCCAATATCCAGCAAACAAGGCACAAGATCATTATAATTAGGATGTCGGGCATATGACGCCTTGACAATTTCCTCGGCGTTGCTGTACATCTCGGCGAGCTCGTCTTTTTTCAAACGTGCAAGTTCTTGCTGAGATCGAACCTCAAAATCCGCCCCAGTTGGTTTGGAATAAAGAAAAGCACGAGCCAATGCAATAAGCATTGTCGTCTTTACAGCGCCGATTCGCAAATTTTGAACGAGAGTACGAACAATATAACGGCTCTCTTCGGCACCGCGTGTATCCTGCAAGAGCTTTTCAACAATACGCTGCTTCATTTCCTGGCTACCAGTTCCCTTGCTTGTCGCAATTTTGAGCAGTGATTGATATACGCCCTTGATTTTCAGCGGCTTTGGCTTGACCAAAGTGAACGCCTGGCGCTTCTTGGCCTCAAAGGCGACATCTCCAGCATCCCCGTGTTTATCATAAAGCGTCTTCAATCCTTGATTATCAAGGCCATATATCTTCTTCAGAGCTTTGGAGATGGACGATCCACCGAGTCCCAGCTCTAGCTCATCGAAAGGTGGTGAGATCGAGTTGGTCGACAACCAAACTGCAGGCAACAGACTGGAAGGGTCCGCCTCGATGAGGAGCCTTAGGAAATTTACCAGTGTATCAACTATTTTGATTCGACTGGTAGTCGCATTTGCGAGAACAAAGGCCCTCGTCAACAAGGCGTAGGAAGCATCGCCACCCTGGCTAGTCCAATGCGCTCGTAATTCGGCCACATACTTGGCCGTGTCAAATGTTTGTGGATTTTGGTCGAGAGGTGTTGTAAGGGACACCGAGTCCTCTGTGCCCGCAGAGGACTGTAGGGATAGTGTATTCTTCTTGGGCATTAGCGAAGATGTTGTAGCAGCAGTAAATGTGATGTCCGTGGGGATTGAAGGCGCCGGTGTAGATGCGGATGCCTCTAATTCTGTTGAGGTGGGTTCATCGCCGTCCGCAGCTACCGAAGAGGAATTCCCCTCCTGATTCCATTCTTCTTGGAGTTTGCGTGCTAATGCTTCATCTGAGAGTGTCTGCTCAGTCTCCTCCGGCTGAGGTTCTGACTGTTTGGGCTGTTGGGCTGCTGGCCCCTTGAAGAAGGACTCGATGCTCCTTGTTTTCTGTGGTGATGTATCAACGCCACTTCGCTTGCGCTTCTTGACCGGACTGGACATTGCTTTTTTTTATTGCAGTAAGAAGTAAAGCGCAAAAGCGCCAAAAGAGAGCGGCGGCTTGTTGCCACTGGGAGAAGCACAAGCACGCGGGTACGTCAGAGCGGAAAAGCGGAGATCGCGCAGACCTGGCCTGGACTGGACTGGACCACCTTGCGACTCCCCGCTACCTTCACCCTTCAACAATGGCACCCTCCACATCGCTCTCGTCGCATGAGCGAACCCGAGTGGAGGACTATCTAAATGACAAGATTCAAGTCACGCCTGACCTTGATAGTCTCGACTCCCTCCTCTCCAACCTCCGCGCTCAGCAGGAGCTTCAACGAAAGCAGGTACTGCTTCCCCTCCTCTATTCTCAATACCACAACTCTATCACTGGCCTCAGACATGCAAGCTGACATATTATCAATTAGCTAGCAGAGGCACAGGAAGCTCTATCGAACGCGACGAAGGCGTCCATTGACCATGCTGAAGCTACTCGCAAACGCGCCGAGACATTTGCGGAGGAACAGGCGGACATCGACCGGCGCTTGAAGGCCATTACGCAATCCGAAACCAGCGATGAAGCAGTGCATCGACTAGAGAAAAGCATGGAGAGGTTCCAACGCCTGGAGTTATCTAAGGGATACGTGGAGCTACTAAGGGAGGCAGAAGAGCTGAGGTAGGCATACATCGAATTGTGGGATGATTCAACAAGGTGGGCTAACGGTTTTCAAATAGCAAGGAAGCCCTCGCCAGCATCTCCTCCGAGCCTCGCACCGCGCTGAAGCCATATGCCCAACTCCGCAATCTCGTGTCTTCGCTGAAAGAAGCCCAACCCGCCGCTGAGGGAGCTGCGCCCCACCTTATCGACTATACCGAGAAACTCGCGTGTGCATTGAGACAACAACTGAAGAAGTTTTTCAGCGATCGACTACAAAAGTCACTTGAATCTATGAAATGGCCAACCCGGGAACTGAATATCACCGATTCATTGCTAGATCAGTGGAGGCAGGATGTTGAGTTACTGATTGATTTACAAACTCCGTATGTTGTTAAAATACTCACCGTCCCCGAACTCTCGGCTAACCAAAAATATAGCGAGCTACCAGGCCGAGATGCGTTAGCACCTGGTTCCACTATTCAGCCTCCAGTCCTCTTCCCATTGGAAGTGATGGTGCATCCACTTGAGCTCCGATTCAAATATCACTTTAGCGGCGACAAGCCGACCAACAGGCTTGACAAGGTATCTATTTTCTATATTCCGTGAGCTTAGAACATGCACGTGAACTGATGCACCTCTAGCCTGAATATTTCCTGTCCCACGTCATGGATCTAATAAGTCAATTCGGAGGCTACTTCACATCATATCTCCAGCCTATACTTGACGAAAAAGCCCAGGCTGCGGGTCAATGTTTTGAGTGGAATTTTTATAATGCACTGCATGCTTTTATTAACGCCCTTCTGCCCATGCTGAGGCAAAAAATCGATTCATTTCTTCCTCAGATCGCAGACCACCCCCAGTTACTGAGCCACTTCATCCACGAGCTCATGAATTTTGACAACGACATTCGTGAGACTTGGAATTACCTACCAGATCCCTACCAAGAAGGATATTGGAGGGGGCTGACCTCGGAGGTTCTGACAAAGCAGGGCTGGTACGATCGTTGGCTTCAAGTCGAGAAAGAATTCGCATTAGCTCGATACAAAGACATTATCGATAATCCTGATAGTGGGCATATCGACTATGACGGCATCGAGCTCACCGCGACTAAGCCGACTAAGGCTGCAATCCGTGTAAACGATCTTCTGGAAACTATCACTGAACGTTATCAACCTTTGACTTCGTTCAGTCAGAAACTCCGATTCTTGATTGACATTCAAATCACCATTTTCGATCAATTTCATGAGCGTCTCCACTCCGCTTTGGAGGCATACCTTGCCATGACATCTACAATCGGCCGCACAGTGCAGGGTGCTGATGGCCAAGCCAGCGTGGAAGGTGTTGCAGGCCTTGAGCGACTCTGCAGAGTCTTCGGCAGTGCCGAATACCTTGAAAGAAAAATGGAAGACTGGAGCAACGATGTTTTCTTTGTTGAGTTATGGTCCGAGTTACAAGAACGGGTTCGCCAAAATCGCGACGGTGGTAAGAATGTCGCTGGCAACATGTCCATTGCGGAAGTGGCATCTCGTACCTCTCCAGCCGTGGCGACCAACGATGCAACCAGTGAGCAGTCCTCATCTGATGGTGCTCTCTTTGATGAAACCGCCTCTGCCTACCGCCGTCTTCGATTGCGATCTGAATCCATCATCATCTCGACGTTGACTTCGAATGTAACGACTGCTTTGAAACCTTACTCTCGTGTATCGACCTGGGCAACTATTTCCACACCCTCCACCGGTGCTTCATCATCTCCGCTCTCCCTAACATCTGACCTGGCACATGCAATCCGCACCCTGTCCACCCAGGTCTCCTTTCTCTCTCGTGCACTTGGTGTTGCTTCTCTTCGCCGGGTTTCCCGCCAGCTTCTCCTTTCCATACAGACTTACATCTGGGATAATGTACTGATGAGAAATGCGTTTTCTGCCACGGGTGCGGCACAGCTGTTCAGTGATGTGGACCATATCTGCAATGTGATTGACACCTCCCTTGGTGTAGCCGGTCATGCTGGGGGTGCTATACAGATTGTGAAGAAGTTGAATGATGGCCTGCGTCTCCTCCAACTGGATGCATCGCCAGCTGAAGATGGCACCGATGATGCAGAATCGACTCCGGGATTGTGGGACGTGGAAAAGAGGTTATTTAAGGACAACGAGAGCGCCCGGACTGCGCTTGTCGAGCTAGAGGTCGATGGGCTGACGGAGGCCGAAGCTCGGTCGGTGCTGGAGCGCAGAGTTGAGATCGGAAACTAGGAGGAAGACTAAAGGCTCTAGAGACAACCCCGATCATTTTGTATTCAATAATATCCATATATGCGTCTAATCCGTTGTATGTAACTAAAAATATGTACAAACCCCATCTTTGAGGCATTTTTCAAGTGTGGTGAACAACAGGCCCATGTCCATGTTCAACCAGTCGCTTCAGAGGAACAACTGGCGTAGTCACCTTCAAGGACTCGACAATACCTTGCCCAACTTCCTCAATGGCACGTACGAGAGACTCCACCGTCTCTTTGCTGGTGGTGACATTGACGACGCATCGGAAGAACTTGCCACTTCCAACAGCATTCTCGTCCCCACTAGGAGGCGCGAAATCCACCATGAAGCCCTTGGGGACAATGGCGTGTGTAATCTGCTCGGTGACCTTACTGTTATTCTTGCCCCGCAGCTCTTCGTTCGAAACGATGTCTGATTCCCGCGAGTATACGAACTTCTTGCCAGGAGCATAGTAGAAACAAACTTGCAAGCACGGCGGCGCATTCTCGCTGACGAGAATGAAGTTCGGGTTCTTCGAGACAAGGTTTGCCAGGTGAGCGGCAATATCGCAAGCAGTATCAATTTGCTGCTCATAGCCTTCGGATCCGTAGTATGTCCAGCCCAGGAATAGCTTCAAAGAATCGGCACGACGACCACACTGCAAAGTTAGGTCTGCCAAGTCCCAGACTTCGGGGGAGTCCACATCTAATTCCGCGTCGTGCCCATTCCCATTTGCGGTGGCTTCGGTATCCGCATTGTGGAAGAGGTATCCCGCGGGAAGCGTGTTTGCTTTATGAAACTGGCGCATATCGGATGCCAGAAGGAACGAACATGTCACCGGAACTCCGAGCATTTTGTGTGGGTTGATCGCAATACTGTTTGCTTTCTCGGAGCCAGCCAGCTTATACCTCTGTCGCTGTGAGAAAACAAACGAGCCACCCCAAGACCCGTCAATATGGAACCATAAGTTATACTTTTGACAGATTGCTGCAATTTCCTCAAATGGATCAAAAGAACCCATTACTGTCGTTCCAGCTGTTGCATTCACATAGAATGGGGTTCGTCCCTCACTTTGAGCCTTCTGAACCAGCTTCTCCAATTCTGCAGGAATCATGCGGCCATACTTGTCGATCGGCACAGCCCAGACAGCTCGGCTTCCAAATCCAAGCATCTGTGCGGCCTTCTCCACACTGTAATGGCCATGGGCGCTGGTGAACAGCACGAACTTGTAACCGCCGTTACCGTCCTCCTTGGTGCTAGGATAGAGATTGTTGCGTGCAATAACGATGGATGTAGTATTAGAAGCCGAGCCACCCTGCACCGAGATTCCACCAGCGCGTGGTCCGTTCAATCCGAAAAGAGTCGCGAGTCGCTGACTGGTATATTTCTCGACGACCGTCAGCGCGGGCGAGACTTGGTAAACATGGACATTGGTATTCAAGGCGGCAAGAATCAATTCTGCTGCCACACCGGGGGGCATTTGTCGAGGCATATAGCTTGTCCAAAAATCCCTGGTGCCAGGTGTTGACCGAGTATTTCAGGACCTTCTGCAACACTTCGATCAGACCGTCTTGCTGTCGACCTTTTTCTGGGATCTCGAGTTGAAGGATATCTCGGAGCTCCTCAGGCTTTCGATAGTCAACCAGAGATGCTCCATATGAGTGCCCGTTTGCACCGTTCGTACCATTGGTGCCATTGGTGCCGTTGGTACCAATTTTTTGCGGGATGACTGTCGGCTCGTCGGCAGCTCGGATAAAGGGAATGAGGAGATCTTCGACGGCTTTCAAGAGCTGTAGGGCGAGAAAATGTTAGCTTTCATTGCTGCTCTGGTGTGATTAACCCATCAATTCCATGCCCAGGGCCTGGTGACTCACATTTTGCACCTCATCGGCGCGGCTTGATGACGGGATCTCCGACATCTAGGCAATCCGTCGCAGTGGCTAGACTCTGAAAGCGTGATATATACAGTGAAACACAGATCCACGAGAGGTTATAATTAACAGCGAACGAGGAAGATAGTTATAGAGAAGGTGAGAAGAGATAGTGTGCCTGTCCCGGCAAAGGGAAAAAAAAGGTTCTCGATGCGCCGATGTCGCCGGAGATGGCGACAGTCTCCGGGTGCCTGACATCATCAGATCGGCCCGCACGAGAACGAATGGGCATGAATGGGCATGGATGGGCAGGTCTATTGGGACATAGCTGTCTATGAGTTCACTGGATTGTAACTTCTTCTCCGTCCAAGTATTCCAGTGCATCTCATTGGGAATGGAGGGGCATCCCATCGCTTTCCCATGCCCCGCGGCAATGGAATCTTATCGGGATCTATATCCCACTACCCTAGGGTACCTTAGGTACCCTTAAGGTGAGGCCTACATGGTAACTACACCATTGTACATCGGTAATATCGAATGGTCTTGGTGTTCGGCACATGAAACATTTTAATCTATTCGTACATGAACTTTTTTTTTGGAGCCAAGATCTATCGGGATAAGGCTGGCCAATTGGGGCTCGAGGCGCAGAGACCTGTGCCCTGCTGCATGCAGCCACTCCGACGTGCAGGCTGCTAAATCGCATCAAATGTGGTATTGTATAATTCATCAAATGGGTATGTGCTTCGCTCACTGAGCAGCTGCAGCTGCAGCTGCAGCTTCGGCCTGCTTGGCTGCAAATCGCTCGGCCGCTAACTCGATTTTCGATTTAGGTCGGACTCCGGTGTCGTCACCCTCGGGTTGTTGCTCAATCCCCTTGGCTCGGGCTTTCCATTCACCTCGTCGACGGTTGTGGAGATCCATTGACCAGTTGCGCCACACAGCTCGACCCAGGAAGGAGTCGCGGAGAGTCATTTCATTCTGTGCCAACTCCTGAGCCAGTCGCTCCTTGACGAAGAAAATATCCTTCGTGGCCGACCAGAGGGAGTCCACCACATGAGATCCGCTGCTGTGAAGAGAAAGCTCGACCATATGGCCCTGGAAGCGAGTGGTGAACTGTCGGCGGAACTGCTGTGTGGATGTCGGGAGGGTCAAGGCTTGTTGGAGAACACGAGAGGAAGTAGGTTCTTTGGCAAGTCTGAGAACAGAATCGGAGGGTTGCGCAAGGAGACTAGAGTATACAAGATCCCCAAGTGGACCAGGAACTGTCAACATAGCTTGCGCCAGAAGAGATCCATGAAGCTTCTCTGCGGATGCGACAGAGTTTTTGCCCGACCTCTTCCTCGCTCCTCGCTCCTCATTATCTGCGTCCTCCATAGCCTGATCTTCGGGGCTTTCTTCGGCTGTCTCGTCGAGTCGGAGCATCTGTCGGAGTCGGGTAGCAGGATCCTTCTCGTAGGCCTCCTCGAGTGCCTTTGCAAATGGCTTGGTATCAACATTCCGAATAACACATCGCTCGATCAATACCCGTGGTACAATGAGACGTGTTCTCTCGATAAGTCCTGGGACCTCTGGAATGATGCGCTCCATTGCGTCTTGCAGATCATCCTTTCCAAGTCGCTCCAGTGTCCGAAGAACGACGTAACCCGCAGTGGTGTTTCGGGAAAGCGATCCAATGCGCTCAGAGATATTGTTCTTGTAAAGGTTCTTGAAGACCTTACCTGGCATATGACGCACCATGGTCTCGACCAAACGCGAGCCGACGGGGTCGTACAGCAAACCTCGAATGAAAGTTGCAGTTTCCGTTCCCTCTTCGAAGGACTCGTCAGGGACGAGTCGTCGCAGAATAGAATTGGGATCCTTGGCGCTGGATTTTCCGAAGTGGGAGAGCTCCAGGAATAGAAGGACCTGCAGAACTGGATTGCCAACAGGGTGGCTAGCTAGAGCTCTCAAGTAAATGTTATCCAGACCAGCAACCATGTCATTCATGATCTTCTTCAATGCAGGCGCAAACGAGTCTGGGACACTTCGCTTCTTGGTAGAAGACTTCTCCTCCTGAGAACCGGCTCCAGGAAGGCCCAGTCTTTCCTTCTTGCGGCTCGCGACAACCGAATCATTTGACACGACATCCACGGGCTCGCCCGCAAGGACAAGCAAAAGCACACGGATGGTATGCGACGCAAATCGCTCTGTCAAGAGATATCCCCAGTTGTTCTTCAATTCCTCAATGACGGTCATGAACATATCGGCAAGAGAAAGTTCAGGCTCGGTATCTTCGTCGTCGTTGTCCTCATCCTCGGTTGATCGTTTATTTTGAGGATTTGGTGTCTTCGCCATGACAGCAGGGGCGGCGTGAATAAAAAGGGTTTCACAGCAGTGACTGGCAAATCGGTGCTGTACAAGATGCAGGAAATGGCCGATGAATTTGCTGAAAATCCGTCGGATTTGCCGAGTATCTGACATCGAGATCAATTTCTCCATGAGCCTCGAGCAGCCTTGACTGCAGGCAATCTTCAATTCCTTTCCATTGGCCTCTTGGTATACACTTTCGATGAACAGGTTCTTCTCTTCGGCGTCGGCGAATTGGTTCGCTTCAAGCATTTCACTGGCACGCGAGAAATATTCCGCCTCCTCGGTGTCGAGCAGACCAAAGAACACATCACCCGAATCCTCACGACCTGCATCTTCTTGTTGATCCTCAGTATCGAAAGGAATGTAATCGGCGTTCTCGTTGTAGGCGTCGGAGGTCTCGATCACATCGGCGTCGGTATCGGCGTCGGTAGTCGGCTTCATGCGCTTGGCTGAGGGAGCCTCGAGGGTCTCGTCATAGTCACGCTTCGCCTCTTCTTTCTGAGCCTTTTTCTCGGCCCGTCGGCCTCTCTTTTGATTTTCGCGAGGCATGACGATGGTGTTCGTAAAAAAAGAGCTCGGCCGGCAGGAAATTTTTTGGATAAGCAGTGGTCCAAGCGTATCCAGCAGACACACCGCCTATGTTTTTGCCGCACTCAGATAAGCATAGTAGTACTATGAAGAGCTGCAGCTGCAGCAGCTACCATGTAGAAATATTGATCGTGGAATCCAGATGGTTGGTCAAATTAAAATATACATAATACATTTAGTTACACAGATATCATACAATTTCTTTCACCGACCATTGCTTATACCGCTGAGTAGATGGCCGAGACATGCCGGCCACATTCGACGCGCTGTTCCATACTCACATTTCTCTTGCCAACCTTGCCCTTGTGTCGTGGCATGATTTGCAGTCTTGCCTCGGGCTCGGGAGTCTTGGAAGACTCTGAGGGTGCCTTGATATACGCCGGTCTAGCGAGGTTTGCTCGCTTTCCAGTTCCCAATTGGAAGTTTTCATTGCCTCCCCACCAGAAGGCTTCGTAGCCCCAGTCACTTGATTTATCCAGGGCATCTGTGTTTTTCGCGCTGAGGTTCGTCTTATTATTCAACAATGCGGCGACGTGGGTGGTGCCGACAGACATGGTACGAAGCCGGATCGGGAGCATCTGCTTCGTCTTCTCATCATACTCGCCCAGACCACTCAAATCTTTCACCTTGATGGGAGAGTCTTGCAGATGAATCCATTTGCCGGCACCAAGTGTGCCCCACACTCCTCGACCACAGGACCATGTGTCGGCGGTGATTCTTCCCAGATCGCGGACCTTGGTGGTATCTTCCTCTGGACCTAGAATTCGCTTGGAATCAACGGTAAAGAATGTGTTTGCTCCGCCGGCGGCTATGCTAGTGACCTTTGGTGAATAGATACTTAGACGATATAGCTTCTTCAAAGGGAGAGCGGAAGGTGTGTCGTTGAAAGGATGTTCCGGCAGAAATTCCACGCCAAGCTGCCCAAAGGAATTATCACCCCAAGCAAACAGCCTTCCGTCATTACTCAGCGCCAGCGAATGATAATCTCCTGATGCAATTTGGGTGATCTTAGAACCCTTGAGGCTTGTGACTTCGTGACAAGTATCCACAGGCCCGCTTGGTCGTGTGATGAAGGATAGCCCAGGTACACCAAGTTGGCCGAGTGATGGATAGTGTTCTGTGGATGCAGCTGCAGTAAAAACACGACCAGAGCTGGTAAGTAGAACAACATGCTCCAGGCCACCTCGGATCAAGGTAACACTCTCTCCAAGCTTCAATGACGGTCTGAGAACACGATAGCTCAATGTGGACTGGCGACCCCAGAACGGCATCCAGGAGCTCTCCCGTAATTTCGGCCCATTGCCTTGGTCGTGTTTGGAGATGGGCAGAGAATAAATGGTTCCATTCGAAGATAATGCGACGATACGGCTTTCGGAAAGTGCAAGTGATGTCAAATTCTTGCCGATCAGGGTCTTTGTCGGCTTATACTCAGTCTCTGAATATCCCTTACCCCACTGAACCAGGTCTCCATTCTCCGTGATTGCGGCGCCGGACTTCTCATCAATTTTGAAATCCCGCAGAACTTGGCCATTAAAATACTTGAAGCGCCGGGGTATTTTGACATCAGAATCCTTAGATTCTGGCGCAACGACCTTGTGAGCGTTAGAGCCCCATGTATAGACCCCGGGGCTCTTCAAGCTTCGCTTTTCCTGAATAAAGTCGGCACGAAGGTCGTTCACATCAATGACTTCCTTTTTCACCTCCTTCTGGCGCTCGATCCAAGCCTCCCAGTCACCATTCATATATGTATAACCAAGATAGGTTGCAGTTCCAGCCAGTGCGAATCCGAAGGAGTTACGAAACCAATGCGACGATACGTTCGATTTCGATTTACCGCTTGCGAAACGGCGCCAGGGCGTATTGAGAGTGGGACGAGAAGCGGCGCTGGGAAGACTGGCGAGACGAGCCAGCTGAGTCGCAGGCCGTCGCACTTGAGTGATCATCATGTTCGTTGTTGTTGTTTTTCAATCTCGTTTAGGGCATGCCTGGGAGACTTCGCAACAAACTGGGCGAGTCGACGGCCAAACTAGCTGGGGAAGCTTTGCGTCAGATGATGAAGAAGCGGAGGTCGGTGGCAGAATGCGGCGGTCGTGGGCGGCGCAGTTGAACACCTCGCACTTCGGATTCGCATTCGTTCACTCTCTAGCAGCTAGCTTTTTGCAGGTTCTAAGGAAGGCATGAGCTGGAGTCTGCCTTCTTCTCTACATACGGGCCTCTGACTGCACCATGCCATCCACAAAGCAGCAGCGTGCCCGCCGCCAGACAGCACCATCTGGACCGCCGCGGCAGCCAACCGCTCTTGAAACCCAAGCCGGCCTCGAAACGACACAGGAGCACTCCTCGGACTTGCTGAAAAGCAGTATTCCAAACTGGAACAATGAGCTTGAATTCTCGTCATGGCTCAATGGTGTCAAGGATGACTTGGTAGAGGAAAGCTACGACCAATATCAGTACGTGCCATCAATGTGGGGGTAGGATGCCAGCAAGACTAATTGGCTATGCTTTTCATGAAACAGGGGCACACTAGATGACCTTCAGCAATCAAAAGAACACATAGATGAAATTCTTACAAGCACATTGACCCTCCTCGATGACCTTTCCAACCTATCCGAATCATTCAGATCTGTCGAGTCGCAAACATCCAACTTCGAGAAGCAATGCGAGGGGCTGCTAGCTGCCCAAGAACGGGACACGAAGCTAGCAAATGGAATCCAGAATAATCTCCATTATTATGACTTCTTGGACCCTGCCTCGCGACGACTCAATGCGCCAGGCGCTGGAAACACGGTCCGCGATAAGGAGTTCTCTGATATGCTGAGGCGTTTAGATGTTTGCTTAGACTACATGGAAAGACATGTCAGTTTCAATTTGTTTAGTCTGACTTTATTCCATACTGACATCTACCCTAGCCCGAGCAAAAAGAAGCAGAGGTCTATCGCTCCAGATACCGACTACTCCTCACTCGCGCCCTAACCCTCATCCGCGGAAATTTTGTAAGCGCCCTTCGAGATATTTACCAAAACGTTTCAAAAAAGATCTCCGACCAGCAATTGAATGACACGGCACTGTCTGCTCTCCTATACGCTAAATTCAGAGTTGGGGCACCGGATATGAAGCAAATCGGCGTGGAAATCCAGAAGAGAGCAGTTCCGCCCCTCAACCCAGATCAAAATAACGAAGCCGAGTACCAGAGCTTGATGAACGAACTGCACAACAATTATGCAGCTACTCGAACACGACTCATAGTGCCCCTCGCACGCAAGAAGCTCGTTGAGATCACCCAAACGCCTAGCTCGTCCAAGGATCTAGTCTCATTTGCGAGAGCGAGCATCGGCTACATCCGAGGTCTGTGTTTGGATGAATATGATCTGTGGGGAGAATGGTTCCATGGGCAAGGAGGATTGTATGACTTTCTTGAAGCTATTTGCGAGCCGCTGTATGACCACCTCCGCCCTCGTATAATCCACGAGACCGATATCGTCAATCTCTGTCAACTTTGCACCCTGCTGCAAACACGGTATTTCCTGGACCCAGAAGATGAAACGGAGCCTACAGATACCAATCAGCTCGACTTTTCTATTTTGATCCAGTCTGCTCTACAGGACGTCCAAACACGTCTAGTCTTCCGTGCCCAGGCAATTCTTCAAGATAGCATTGAGCGATACAAGCCTCGTCCGGAGGATATTGATTATCCAATGCATAGCCGACAAGTATCCTTGTCAATCACCGACACCCAAATATCAGGGAAAAAAGACACTACAGCCGATACCATGATTGACATGACGAACACTACCAAGGAGAGTGAAAATTCCGAGGATACTGCGCAGGAGAAAGGTGGAAAGTGGGACTTTGAGACCCAAACCGCTCTGAAAGGATGGTATCCGACATTAAGAAAGGCAATTTGGCTTCTCAGCCGGATCTATCGGCTTGTCAACGTAAGTCTCTTATGCCAAGTTTGATTCATTTCATCAGAATAATACTTATGCATGTGTCCCAGTCAACTGTCTTTGACGATCTCGCCCATCAGATCGTTCACCAAACTACCGAATCTCTTCACAACGCCAGCCTCATGATCTCCGGAAAGTCCACGCCGGCGGACGGACAACTGTTCTTAATGAGTCATCTTCTCATTCTAAAACAACAAATTGTCGCCTTTGACATTGAGTTTGTTGCCCCGGACGTCTCACTTGACTTCTCTGGTGTCACCAGCACCTTTTGGGAGCTGCGTGAACGTGGTGGGTTGTTCAACCCCCGCAACTTGATGCGTCTTGTTGGCCATGGCCTTGTTCCACGTGTTGTGGAGAATATGCTTGATGCCAAGGTTGAACTGGATGGCCGTCTCCGCACCGTCATCAACGATTTTATCAATGCCTTTGCCGCTCGGATGACTGCTTCTTTGCCATCCAAGTTTGTGGATACACGAAATTTACAACCCGGGGAACTCACCCATCCCACTTGCCATACCATCGAAAAGGAGGTTCCGAACCTTCGAAAAATTCTGAACGCATATATCGATGATACTCGCATGAAGGAAACTCTTGTTGGTGCGGTGCAAGATCGCACGATTCAGATATATGAAGACTTCCTGGACAAGTACACGTCTTCTGAGAAGGGCAAGGGGAATTCGGTCAGCAACAAAGGCAAAGGTCGTGATGATGCAGTTTGGGATATTGAAACATTTGCAGAGTGGTGCGAGGGTATCTTCCGAGTCGGTGTTGCAGGCCTCCAGGCTGAGCAGACTGACCTGGAAGACGATGATGATGATGTTCTCAGCACGAGCTCATGAGTCTTTATTTCCCTTTTTGAGCCCTCGCATATTGAGCATAGATACCACATGGAATATTAGCGCAGTCAATGTACATGTATGAACCAGCAATAACTATGGATAATGTTGCGTCCTGATGATGCAAATTTTACAACCAGAAATCTGAGTCACTGCAAAACCCCCGGATATCAAATGTAAGATTTGATATCCTCGCCGATGCCTTTCCTATTTATTCTAGGGAGGATTGCAGATCGATAGAATCGGAAGGATCAAAGTTCAGGCAGCACAGCCCTGTGGGGCCAACGCAGCCTTGTGAGGTGGAGCTACAGCCTGACAGAAGCTCCTTTTAGCAAAACCATATAAAGCCGCTGTCGCCCCCAGGAATTTTCGCGGTCGTTATCCTAACAGCCACAATATGACGGACCATATGAAGAGAGCTACAGACGGGCTGTCATACGGGGCCCTTTGCACCGGTCTACCCTCACCGGAAATGAGGCCTGACCAGCCCAAATCCCTTCTGCTAGTCTTTCTAGCTGACTTTGAAGAGCCTCATAAGGAGAGGCTCATAAATCATGTCCGTCCAACGACTAGTGAATTTAAAATCCTGACATGGCACCCAAATCATGCAGTCCTACGATCTATTGCGCCTCAACGAAGGTACAAGGACAGCCAAGCCAACTTATACGGGCTTGCCATTGTGGCCTACCGAAATGGACATTCAGGTTTTATCTTCGCAGATGAGTTGACAAAGCGCCAAGTGGAAGGGCATTTCCCTCTGCGTGGAGAAGATGGGCGCATCTCCGTGGGAATGATTTCCGTGAGGCAGAGGGAACAGCATGACCAGCTTCGCATTATTGCCAAGCGTTCAGCGTTGGGAAACGATGAAAATATTGCCTTATTAGCAGCCGTGGAGAATTTCGACATCTCACAAGATTTTGACAACTCAAAGAACGAAGATTCCGTTACAACGGTGTACTCAGAGCTTGGACTCGAGCTGCACGACCCAGACCATCCTGTGTTTACTCCAAGCACAATGAACTCCTTTGCCTACGAGGAGATTTTGGCTGCTTCTATAACGGCCCTATCTTTGAATACGCCATTGCCTCCTGAGCTGGTCTTAGACATCACATCTCGGGTAGAAAGGAATGCGGAAGAAGTGATCAAATTTCCACCTGGGTTGAACTTCCAAATTGAGAAGCCAAATATTAATATACTTCTCGGCTTTCAGACAACTCAAACTGAACGTGATAACATACTGTCTATTTTGAAAGATGCTGTGCGTTTCGAGGTTGAGAAACAAAGACAAGAGCAAAAGAAAGAGCTCGAGATCAAGGTAGAGGCAAAGCAAAAGAAGACAAGCATGAGTGAGGATAATGAGCGGGAGGACGAGGACGAGCATGACGCTTCGAGCTCCAGGAACATCCACGATGCGGGATACCTTCAGCTCAGTGTCCATATTATTCCTTGGGAACAGACGCGCACCCCATCCCGTCGCGATATCTTGAATGTTTTTGAAGCGGTCGCCACATATGCGGGCACTGGGCCTTTCCAGCTACCATATTTTCTCATGAAGCCGACTGAGAATTGCAGCAAGGCTCCGACTGAGTTTATCTCAATTGGTGACACTGAAATGGGACCCTGTGCCCGTCAGATTATGTTGAGTGAAATGATACAATATAAAAGAGTGCGACCAACCGCGTTGGAATTTGCGAGATACTACGGAGATGGACAAATGGAATTGATGCCGTCGTCACGCATTATATCATCCGGGTTCGACGAGCCCTTTTATCCCATCTCACACCCTTGGAATGCTATTGGGCGCATGAATGCGATCCCGTTGTTCTTCCTCACAAACAAGCTTAGTGATGAGCAAGTCACGGCACTTTACGAGGAGATCCAAACCATGGGCATGATCGACGACGATGACTGGGGTAAAAAGGTCATTTGTCCTGTCCTTTGGAAGGAAGATGAGCCAGATGCAGAAGATGGGACACCGGCCGATATGTGGAGGCTCTACACCGAAGTCCACGATGGCTGCGAAGATCCTCTATTTTTCGCTGACCTGCAGTCTGGAAACGATCTCCAAGTTATCGTGACCAATCAGGATTATGTCTGCGATCCAGATCCAGAAGATGAAGAGGCCTGCGAGCTACTAAAAGGCGTGGAACAGCCGAATTATCGCGGACTTACCTACGGCCGGTTACCTGGCCGCGAGGCACACATCGTATGGGTGAATCTCAACATCGCCAATATGGGCATTGATGAGTATTTTGACGATGAGAATACATGCGAAAATTACTTCAGGCCTGATTGGCCGTGCCATGACAGGATGGATGAGTATAATGAATGGATTCCTAAGGAGGAAGTGGTGTGAAAACGTCGAGGCAATGAAGAAGGGCTGGGGCTATCTAAATGAGGCAAGATACATACCCCTTGTGATAACCAGATGTACTAGTACCAGGTTCGCTGTAGGGGCGACTGGTGAATACGATTTCAAGGACGTTGATGGTCGTGGTAGAGAACTTGAAAAATTGATATGCACTATTTTCTGGCCACAAGTGTTTGATGTGTAAAAGTTCTACCAGTCTTTCATGAAAGAATTTCCTTATGTGCAAAATCCGTGGACACCGTTTCCCAATCCATTGACAGTAGCCGACTTCCGCTTGAATGAAAATAAAACACCAGGGGGGTATGTATGTACTAAGATACAAGAACGAGACACAGCTAATTACCTTATCCAATGAATCGTATGTATTTCCAAGACTTGGAACGAATCAACAAGAGACTTAGTAGACGTCTCGGATCTTGGCATATAGCTCGGTCTCGAGGAAGTTATAATTAGGGTCTGATTCACAGAACGGGTGGCGTGTGAGCAGAGTACCAGCAGTTGGACGTTCCGAGGAGTTACTATAGACAGGTCAGATGCTGACTTGGAGAGAAAAAGGCAGTTTGGGATAAAACTTACACTGTGAAGCAGTCATACATGAATGCAAGAGCAGCGGGACTGATGCTCATAGAGACATCTTCCGGGATAGGGGGCGCTTGACCGAGGCTGCCGAGTTTGAAGATGGCACCGATAGCCTCCTCCTTGCTCCAAGGCCGTCGACCAGCAAACATTTCCAACACGACACATCCAAGGGACCAAATGTCGACCTTCGCGCTGTAGCCCTGGCCCTGGGACTGAATGACCTCCGGGGCCATCCAGAAGACCGAACCCTGCATAGAGTTGCTGGAATCATTTCCGTATATGTCGTCTGTCTTCTTCGAGATGCCAAAGTCGGATATTTTGCAAGTTCCATCAACATCCAAAAGAATATTGTCTGCCTTCAAATCGCGGTGGAGAATACCCATGTCGTGAAGGTAAGCCAGGCCGCCCAGGGTTTGACGTGTGAGAGATTTGACAACACTTTCCTCAAATTTTCCATGCTTGCGAAGACAACTGCCAATAGAGCCACCAGAGATATACTCCAGGTAGATGGAAATTGAAAGGTCTCCTCGCTCGCAACCAAGATATTGGACAATATTAGGGTGTTCGAGATGCTGCATCGTATCGATTTCCTGGTCCAGGGCAGCCACCATCTCCTTGATTCGGTCTCTGTCATTTCCTGCAATCCTCGCGTTGATTTCGACTTGCTTTACCGCCAAAACTTCACCATTATCGGCGTTGATACCTAGATACACACGACCATAGGTACCCTTGCCAATAAGCTGACCTCGGATGATGCGGAAGGTTTGCTGGCGTTGTGGAACTGCTTCGACTGGCCCCGGCGAGCTCGTGTGCTGTGGGATAGGGTCGAGTTGGCTGAGCCGAGTTCCAGGCTTTGGACTGATTTGCATGATCTTATGACCAAACATTTTGGTGCTCTTGCGTCGCAACAGATCACCTGATTTTCGAGGGCCGGTAGCAGGCCCGATGCTCTTCGTCCGGTGAGCCCCCTGAGCGACTTGTCGAATAGATTTTGTGCGCGAAAGGCCGCCGCCACTCCGATTGATGTTACGTACGGCAACTGAGGTCGGACGCGCGGTTGATGCATCAGAGCCGGCTTGCGGGATAGACGGAGGTTGTGGAATTTGGGACTTGCCCCGAAGAGTTGCTTCATTGTCACCGTTCATCTTATTATTCGGCGATGGAGGCTCTTCGAGATAGGGGGCATCAAGGTCGACATTTGGGAAGAAGCTGTCCAGGTTATCAATAACGCCCTCAACAGGAGGTCTGCTGGCCCAGAGGTCGCTAGCAAAAGACTCTCTGCGTGGTAGTCTTTCGTTCGCAGGTGAAGCCGTTCCGTGGGAGCCCCCTGAGAATTGGTCGGGGTTGTCGGAAGCCTCTCCGCCGGAGCTGTAGGATGAAGGCATGAAATATGATGAGCCCTTGGCAGCAGATTTGGGTGACTGAATTGTAACAGTGCGACGCTTGTTATTGTCAGTGTCTACGGTGAGAGTCGGCTTTTTCTCGGGTTCCGCCTTTTCGGGCTCTGTTCTCGAAGGGCGAATAGCAAAAAGACCATCGTCAGAATCATCGCCAGAGCCATCAGAATCTTGGTTAGAAAGTTGCGTTCTTGCGAAGGAAACTTCACTTTCTTCAAACTCGAACTCTGGTCCGACTGACTTCCTTGATGGCTGCGAAGATTTGGATGTGCTGCGCGGGGACGGTGATCTTTCACTGCCTTGTTCTGCGAAAGATTTGGAGCCAGTTCTCGACGATTCCAGAGTTGTCCTACTCGAAGCCGAAGTTGCAGAATCGAGTGTCTGTGGTCGATCAGAATCTGAGCCAGTGCTATCTCGATTAATGGATGAAGGCGTGGGAGGAACTGGGACTGAAGGAGATGGCGTGCCAATTGAACTAGTCATCCGACCCATATTGGCGAGAGCAGCCCCCAGGCCAGGCTGGGCTCGAATGGGGCGATCGCCGGGGCCTTTCCTGAGAGAATTGACTTTGGTGAGCGTATTCGATTCATTGGGAGCAACTGGTGGGTTGCGCCGGGGCACCAGTCCTTCCTGCTGTAACTGCAGCTGTAGCTGTTGCTCTTGCTGCAACTGTTCCTTCTTCTCTTCATAAGGCGAGATACGAGGCGTGTTGAAGTCGATAATCCCTGTACGCCTATAACCGGTTTCGCCGTAAGTTCCTGTGAAGCCTGGCTGGGAATTGGGAGGAACGCGGGAGACCCGGTGCTCTCTTTGCTTTCGTTCAACCTCGCGAAGATGAGCCTCGTGGCGAGAGAGGAGATCTGTTTGCTCCGCGTCCAACAGAGTCGCAGATTCGGTGCTATCTGGGGTTGTTTTTGTGACCGAAGGCTTGGAGGTTGACTGTCCAGAGGTATGGATAGGCAATGCAGGCTTGGCCGTTGCCTGGGGAGATATTCGGTCCAAAGCCTCGGGCTCCAAGGGCTTGCGATGTATAACAGGGTGTGCCGACGCTGTAGGGGACGACGTGGCCTTTTCACTCGGTATTGAAACGCCAAGGCCATATGGTATTGCGGGATGAGAGGGGTTTGCCTTGACAAACAATTTTAGAGAGCCATATGCATCTGACTTGTTTCGGCGAGAGACCGCTAGCATGGCGTCACTCATAGGGTCATCGTGATGGTGTTGCCCTGGCTCGGTGAGGAAAATCTGGGCACTTGCCCAATCGTCAAGACCAAGGTCTCTACAGATCCCTGCACGCAAAGTTTCTACCGATTCCATATCAGAAACGTCAACGAGGCGGTAATTGAGACCATCCGTAGTTGCGAAAACCCATCGCTTCACTTTAGCAGCCGACGAGGAAGGGCGATCTCCCAGTGACATGTCGCTGATATTGAACCCTGGCTTCGAATAAGGAGTATAAGATCCATTGGATCCATTGGTCGAGGTTCTGGGCTTGAAGGTGAATGCTGCTCTTCCGGGGACGGATAGTCATTCGTCCTGGCCTTCCTCTTGAACATATTCAAGAATCCTTTGTTATGCTCCCTATATGAGGTAGGCGTTTCGCCACTCCATGGTCGAGCATTTGTTTCTTGTTGAGGAGAAGGACGTGCACCCTCCTGGCCCTGTCTACGGTGGTCATAGTACCGACCAACGTTTCCAAAACCTCGACCAGTTGAATCTGCGCTATTCCCGCGAGAATGCTCATATCTCCCTAGGGTCAAATCACCAGTCGAGTTTGACGTTAGACCCTGGTATGACGGCGATGCATACTGCAGAGCCGGGCTGCCACTTTTCGGACTATCTTGGGGCCGACGAGATGAACCTGGAAATGTGCCATGGTCGCTGGAGAGAGATGGGCTTTGGCGCTTATGTTCATTCATTTGCGCGAGCGTGTTCCTAGAATATTCTGATCGCTGCAAAGTGGAATGCTCTCGAATCGGCGACTCGTACTTTGGGGACTCGTAACCGACAGGGAGAGGCTGTGTGACAGAGCGCAACTGCGGGGTTTGCTTCTGAGACTGGGCTGAGGTATGCAACTCTGCTAACTGGCCGGGACTGATGTCGTTCACCCCAGGTGTAGGACCAGCCGACCGGGGCTCAGAAATCTGGACGGGATGAAAAGTAGTGCCAGCGTCAGTGGAAGACGGTGGGAACGCAGGGGGCTCCTGCCGCAATGGCGTCGAGATGGAAGAGTCCGGGTTGCCATCGTGGATGGAGCGAATCAACTTGCGCAAGCGCAGTCCTTCTTCTCGTTCACGAGCTGAGTCCCATCCAGTTCCACTGCGGGCACACTCTTTCGCTAACTGAGGATATACGACTTTGTGAATCTTGCCAAGGTTCCCCCGTCCACCCCACGCCAGACCAAGCTCAAGAAAGTCGGCGCCTTGAAGCTCTAAAGACTTGAATGTTTCCTGCCAATCATTGGAGAACCCCATTTTAGCAAGCCACATGAGGACTCGATCGAGCGGCCAATGAATCGCGGCCTCGCTTGGCGAGAGACCCCCCAACGATGCACCGCTGGTATTGTGACGATGGCTGGGCGATTTGGCGAGATCGACACCTGGACTTGGGTTCTGCTGCAGATTCTCATTTGTCTGTATTTCATGTACAGTCCCATGAAGATGTGACGGGACATTCATACCCCCAGGTGTCTGTGGATTATAATTTCCAGGGTTATACGTCCCCGTGTTGGTAGTGGTAGGGTAGTCATAGGTTTGTTTCGCCACAGGTCTTTGCTGTGAATAACTGGTGTCATACCCAGTCCGGCCGGGTTCGAACAACGGGGGAATTCCGACGCCAATTGTATCGTGTCCTGGAATATATGTTGCAGAGGTAAGAGGTTGGTTGTCGATAGACAAAGGGGCAGGAAGACGATATCCAACAAGTGGGTTCTGCTGCGGCGGGGGAGGCGGAGGTGGGAAGCCTGGAGCTAATGCCTGCCGAGTGTAGTTCGGCTGCCATCCTGACGGGACCGCATATGAAGTTCCCGGGGGTGGACCTGGTGGTGGTGGCGGTACTCCTGGTTGCTGAAGCTGTGGGTGTTGATGAGGGTGTCGTGGAGGAGGCGGAGGCAAAGTCGGCGGGCCTGGAATATATGCTCGCTGTTGACCGTCCATTATGGTAACTGATCGGGACCTGCGATCAAAAGCGCCCAGCGCAATATCGGTGGGAGGATCGAAAGATCCAAATTGCACCGGAGAACCTCAGGTGTTTAGCTCAACCTTCATACACATCCCAAGGTTCAACGATGCCGGTCCGAGGTGGAGGGTGAAGTCCGTCTCAGGAATGACCGTCGGATGGCCGGTATTGAGACCCTGCTCTCAGGTCGGTGGTGTCAAGAGGAGAGAATTCAAGTCACAGGTTCGTTCCCCAGCATTGTTCGAATCTGGGTGTCTTCGAGGCTATCGAAGCGCCCGAGGCGCAAGGTAGGTAGTTGGTATTATTGAGAGGGTGACTATGGGGAATTTGCGAAAGACTGCGGTGAACCCCGATCGAGGTCCAGCTGAAGAAGCTGGGGCTCACTGTTGGAAGCGCCACTGGTCAGCAATCTGAAGGGCAGAATAACGCGAGGGGGATGATCCCCCTCTCCTCTCCGATCGTACTCGTAAGAACGGAGCAAGTCAAGGCGACGAGAAAAATCCATTCCAACCCACTCCTTGCGTCGGAGAATTAGCCTCGTCAAGACTCAGCGTGAGAACTTACCGGGAAGAATCAAACCAGCAGGGATGAAAAATATTGTTTGGGAGACAAAGGGTCAACAGCTCTGATGCCTTGGACCAAAGATCATCACGTGGGCCCGCTTTTGCTTTGCAGGTGGAGACGGCCAAGATCAATCAACAATTACAAGTATCAATTGGTTTAAGGTAGTACGTACTACTAGTGCTAAGTACAGTACTTTGGGGGCTCGTAGGGCTTTGTCGGTTTCAAGTCTTTTTGTTTGGGATGAGGAGATCTACCCTCACAGCAACCCCCTGGTAGGGATCTGATCCGAGGCCCCTGGTTTGGCGGCCGCAAGTGTCATATTGGAGGATTGGGGGAGAGGATCCATGCCCCGTTATCCTTCAGGCGTACGGAGTACACTGGCACGCCCCCCATTCTTGAAACCGGCTAGATTGCCCCGGCCAACCCGTTTGAGAATCCCCAGTAGACCTGAAATCTCCCCTCTCTCTCACCTCTCAAATTGACTGTCACCCGCTAGTGCTACATACTGGGTGATGCCCCCGGTGGCGCCCAAGACAACTCCTAACTAGTATCCTCTTGGCCTACATCCACCGCAACCCTGAGTAAAATTCGATCACTGATTGAGATTTCATTCATTTCGTAACTGCGTCTGAGAGGAGATGGTGCTTGGATGATTACAGTGTAGATGACGAGCAGACTCATCACGTCTGTTGCTCGGTGACAATTGGGATGCCGCCCGCCTGACGGTCTGGTGCTAGTAGGTGAGAGGTGCAGCCCCGATCTCAAGCCTTGGGATTTGAAACATGGCTGGCATGATGTTGCTCAATGCTTGAAGGAAAAGGAAGGGGGAAAATCAACATAACTCCAGCCAAAGCCAACGGGGCAACCTGTTTCGGGCTGTTTATTTGTTGCGCGCGGCTGCAGCTTCGGCGGTCAGCTTGAGTGCAGAGGGCGCATCGTCACGAGGCATGTACAGCTCCACCAGCCGGAGGCGGTTGGAAGTACAGAAGTCCTGCTCAGTGAACAATTTGTTGAGTTCATCTCTGGTCTTGATTCGGTATCCTTTGTATCCATCATCCGCACCAAAAACCTTGGGGATGCTCGCAAAGTCCCACGGTTGGATGTCGTTGTATCGCGCGTCCCAGCCATGGATGTAGCGCTCAATGGTGTAGCCCTCGTTACAGATCACAAATCTAGGCAAGTTAGCATTGGAAAAGGATGCTGTCGCTTTTTTGTGGCTGGAAGGAAACTTACACAATAGGCGACAGTTTGTTTCGCAGAATTGTACTGAGCTCTTGCACCGTCAACTGAATGCTACCATCTCCGATGAACAGAATTGTGCGACGGTTGTTTTGCTCTTTGGCAGCCAAGGCAGCACCCTGGCAGGATCCCATCGAGTACCCAATGCTCCCCCAAAGAACTTGGCTAATGGCGGTCACATTCGCAGGGAATCGAGTGTCCCAGATACCAAAGTTGGCCGTACCAGTTTCCGTGATGACGACATCATTTTCCTTCAGCCACTGACCAACAACCGGCCACAGCCAGGCATGGGTTATGGTCTGGTCAGAGGAAGATTGCTCGCTCTCTGGGAGCTTATTGGTGATGCGAGGAGCAGCAGTCACGTTCAACTTGCCCATCTTCTGCACAACCTTTCGAAGAACACCCTTCATGTTGATATCGGGGTACTCAGAGTAACGCACACGCACATAGTTGCTATGGAAATCGATCGTGTTTAGCTGACCGATTCGATAAGTGAAACCGGCCGTGTTGAAATCGGATTTGATGGCGCCAATGCTGAGAATCAGGTCGGAGGATTCGACTACCTCTCGGACGCCGGCATTGGATCCATTACCAGCATAAACGCCACCAAAGTTTTTGTGAGATTCGTTCACAGCACCCTTGCCCATTGGGGTTACAAAGGTGGGCAGCCCAGATGCCTCTACCAGATCATGCACCTCCGTCAATGCGCGATGGCGGATGGCACATGCATCAACCAGAATTACAGGGTTCTTGGCCGCCTGCAGATATTTCAGGACGACGTCCACGACGTAGTCTTCCTTCTCTGGGTCATTATCGGGTAGGGACAGGTCAATTGGTTTCTTCAGGCGGTCTCCATCAACCTTGGCGTAGATCATATCCGTGGGTAAGGTAACGTAGACGGGGCGGCTGCGAATCCAGCATTCCCGGATTGCACTGTCGACGAAAGTTGCCGCGTAATGGGGGTCATTGAGCTGGGCAACGTAGCAAGAGATACCGGCGCTCATCTTCGTGAATACGTTGAAATCGCCGTTACCCAGCGTGTGGTGAAGCAACATGCCATCCTTCTGAGACTGAGTAGTAGGTTGGCCTACAATGTGGACGATGGGGACAAATTCAGAGTATGCGCCAGCAACGGCGTTCAACGCAGATAATTCACCGACCCCGAAGGTGGTTATCAACGCGCCCATTCCGTTGACGCGTGCATATCCATCAGCAGCATAGCCTGCATTCAATTCATTGCAATTCCCACCCAATCCAAATCGCACTTAGGCAAGTAATCGAGTGCCGAAAGGTTGTAGTCTCCGGGGACTCCATGGACTGAACGGATGCCGACTTCATGAAGGCGACGGAAGATGTATTCGGCTAGATCGACAGGGTTTTCGAGCTCTCGTGTAGCAATATCTATAGAAGCCATTGTGGGTGGAGTTGGGGGGGAGGAGAAGTAAGTTTTGAGGGGAAAGACGGTGGTGAGATTGTGAGAAGGGGAGAAGGTGAGAAGCGGAGCTCGTGTACTTTTTAAAGATCGGGGTCCCGGTTTGCTCCATAGGAGAGTGGGAAGAGCAGCAGGTGATACGGAAGAATCGGAAGCTGCCAAAAAGGCCGCGGTGGTAGCTTTTTCGATCCCAATTGCAGGTTGCGATAGGTGCACTACGTCATGATTGGGCAGTTGATGTCACGCCATGCCGGTTTGTTGTCCGATAATCACCTTCTGTGGATGGGACTGGAATAGACAAAACACAAGACTCATACATGATTAATTTTAATAATTTATTATGATGTGGGATCACCGCATTAATACTAGATAAAGCTTCTCGGCATCCCATCAAACCAAGGAGGATCATTGTTTCGGGATCGCCTCCAAGCCCAAGCTCCAAGCTCCGAACTCCAGCACTTTTGATCCACCCGATTTGCGCCCGCTAACCCGAATGGGCAGACACACAAAACTCGACTTGCCTCCCCCACTCTTGCGGCCACAGGAACATCTAGATTTCCTCAATGGCAGGAGACGGCAAACGCAGCATGCCTCAAAACGGAGATTCTTCCAAGCGCCGTAAAGTATGTTCTCCTCGCAGCAACCTTTGACTTTACCTCTACAACATGGGGATATGCTTTCACCCACTGCCTCCGTCCGACTCAGTGCAGTGAGTGCGTGAGTGAGTGAGTGAGTGCATAGAGCTAACTAAACAACCAGGGTCCGCCGCCTAAGCAACGCATTAACGTTGATACCGGTGATGCGGGTATCTTCATAACCTGCGACATGGGCAAGGAAGGGAAATGCAAAGCTGAGGTTCTAGATATCATCTCCCAGGTAGGTTCGTTCCACAAAGGCAAACGTGCTACGATTTGACCAGTACGGTCACTAACCCGCCATATTTAGATATTTGAAGATTCTATGAAGAAGAACCAAGAAGAGCAGGAGGATTCCGACGATGATGATGATGATGATGAGGACATCGAGGCTCAAATCCAAAGAGAACTTGCTGGTCTCAAGCCCGCCGATGACAAGACGGACAAAAGCAAAAGACGTCCAGTGGAAGTCACTCGTCTAGAAATGCCCTGTGGTGCGTTCTCAGATATTCCAATCACGCCCGAAGTCCGTGGCCACGTATTTTGAAGGTCGTGGTCGTGGTCGTGGTTCTGGTGCTGCAACTAGTAGCTGCTGGTATTGATATTCATATCCAACAGTTCTCTTCGCTCGAGTTGACAGCTCCATCGACCCTGTTCAACTGGTGCATCGTCTGTGTACCGAGGCACAGGAAAATCCAAACACAAAGAGGAGCCGATACATCAAGCGGATGACCCCTGTTGTTTCTATTCGGAAGACCCTGAGTGTAGAGCTTGAACCCTTCATCAAAGAAATGCTCAAGCCACATTTCCATTCGGGAGGGGGTCCAAAGAAGGTGGGTAACAACCCTGTGAAACTGAATGAAGTCCCCTCTTGGTTTAGCGAATTGGTCATCCCTGCAACATTCCAAAAAAGGTAGCATGGCCGTTTGGGAGCCCTTTTGCTGATATCGCTCGGTTTTAATTAGTTCGCTATCCGACCATCTATACGAGGAAATAACAAGTTCAAACGAGATGAGGTCATCAAAACTATCGCGGAACTCGTTGGACCCGAACACTCGGTGGACTTGACAAACTACGATGTAACGATCTTGTTCGAAATTTCCCAGGT